GTGTATTAGTACTTATAAAGCACAAATTCTGCATGACCATATTCTGCATCCCTGTTCCTACCCAATAACTAAACATAAGAACTACCTTACTAACTAATAAGCAGCAAATTAGGAGTTTATTGATGTAAAAGTCATAGTCAGTGGTTTGTTAATAGTCTGAATTGGACCTTAAAGGGGTCATATGATGCGATTTAATTTTTTCCTTTCTCTTTGGAGTGTTACAAGCTCTTGGTGCATAAAGAAGATCTGTAAAGTTGCAAAGACTAAAGTCTCAAATCCAAAGAGATATTCTTTATAAAAGTTAAGAGTCAGCCACACCTACCTAAATCGGCTCGTTCTAACACGCCCCCACATGTCTACGTCATGATGTGGGAAGATTTGCATAACGCCACCCAAATGTTCACGCAAAGAAAGAAGGCGTAACTTTGATTCTCGCTGTAGTATTGTTGTTGCCGCCGCCGCCATGTCGTGAAGGCGCTGTGTGCTTCGTTGTGAAAGTGAAACTACTTTGTTTGGCCTTCCATAAGAGGACGATATCACTTCGTCATGCCTGGAGCTGATCTGTGCTGGTCGCTGAGGAAATACATTAACTTTGCGCTGTGGATCGCCGGATCGGGTTTCACCGTGGACAAAGCGGAGTCCAGTCCGGGGTCGTCACATATGGTTGCCGCAGGCATCACAATATGGTAAGGGACGTAACATTTCCATCACACGCTTGAGGAATTCGGCCAATCACAACGCACTGGATAGCTGGCCAATCAGAGCACACCTTGCTTTTTCAGACCGATGAGCTTTGTAAAAATCAATGCGTTTCAGAAAGGCGGGGCATAGAGGAGAAACAATAATGTACAGTATGTGAAAAATAATGTGTTTTTTGAACCTTAAACTGCATAAACACATTTTATTACACCAAATACACAAAATAATGTTCTTTTTAGCAGCATCATACGACCCCTTTAAAATAAAGTGTGACCAAAATGGTTTCATTTTTCAAAATTTCAAGTAGTCAAAGGTGCCCGTAATTGAAGAATCATCCTCATATTCTTTGAAACTGAGCTGAATAAGTGATGTTTTAGCAGTAGCATGCCGGTGAAACACTGTTTTCGCTCTTGCATTTGAGTATGTGAACACCTGGAATAGCGGCACCATGCCAAGATCTGCATGATGTTTAACTTTATCATTATGAAGACTGTTAAACTCCAGGAGCCTCTCATTCGCAAAGGTTCTAGAAGGTTCCATTGCACTCAGGTTACTATTGCCACAGTAAGAGAGCCATCTGCTTTATGAGCCACCCACTGTTTCAGTTATATTCTTGAGTTCATTCTCTTTTTACTGGATATATCATAAACTTTAAATGAAATATTACAATAAAAGTTACATGATGCTGGAAATCTATTGGATTTATTAACTTCAAACTCTTTTATTAGGTGAAAACAGCAAAGAAAAGAAAGTAGGCCAAGCTTGTTAAGAAGTAAATCTTTTGACCTTTCCCTCTTGACTTGATTTGTAAAAGCAAAGCTCTTCCACTGAGTTGGGGGCTGTGTCTTAAATCAGTAGCAGAACGGGATGCAGGAAGTTGTTATTATCATCATGTGATATTATCATGTGGTCTGCCCTCTGGAGAGGGGAAGTCTTGGCAGAAATGGTCCGTGTGCACAGTCACACACAACTAACAGGGCACCTCCCCTTTAACACTTAGAGATAGCAGTCAGCGCTCCACGTCCTCAATCAACAAGCACTTCCAGTACAGCACCTATAACACAAGGGCCGATTGACTCTGGCTCTTCAGCACACTTGTGCCATTGTGCCCTGTGTAGAATGGTAGTGTTGTGGGAGCGTGTGACTGGAGCATTGTGTTCACACCGTATTACCTGAGCCAAATCAGGCAAGCAAAATAGGTTGATCACTCATATTTAACAAATTAGTGTGGTTACATTTGGGCTTGCAATTGAAAGGTTTCTTTCAGCAGTTTCTTAAGGGATTTGTTCTCTGTTGGAGAACAATTTTGAATGAAAGAACTGGCCAGTTATTTAACACAACAAATGGATAATGAATCTTAATGTGAAATGGTATTAAAGTCAAAGTTAGGTCATTTTAAAAAGTTAGGAGTAAAGCAAATAGTTCTTTCAGGTAACTATGCCTGATATTAAAGATTTATTTAATTTATCTGTATCAATCAGCATTGGATTTACTTTTCATTTCATTTACACACCTATTTTTAGGTTTAGATTATGTTTTCTATCATCTAAAATAAAAAGAATTTAACTGTTAAATGTAATCTTAGCAAATCTCAAAATGAATATTCATAAATGATAACGAATGATGCCTAAATCACTAGCATTTAAAACAAGTGATTTCAATTTATTTTCAATTGGTCATTTATTGGTTACTGTGCATAGCATGACAATAATTAATATTTACAAATAAAAGTAAAATAATTAAAAAATAATTAAAATAATGGTGACACATTACCTAAAGCCTTTGTGTATAATGCATTATAAAAGTAGTTTTATATATAGTAAGTTATAGTAATGAAAAGTAGTTTTCATTAATTATGCCTTGTAATGCACCTTATAATGCATTGCACAATCTTATGAATAAATGTAACCACAGTTAATACATCCTAACACTTATTAATTCATTGTTACACTATGCATTTTAAATTTGGTTATAATTATTTACGACAAGATATGATGTATTACAAAGCAAATTATGAAAAATTCTAATGCATTATACCCTTTAATACCCCTTTATAATGCATTATGCATAAAGGCTTTAAGACAAATTTTACCAAAATTGTTAACAATTGCTTGGGTGAGCATTACTTTTGACATTTTTGTTTACTGATATTGTGTAATGTGCTCATATTTTGATTTCGTAGGTCCAAAATTGTCTCAAAAGATCAAAACAGTTGTGTTACACAAACAGAGATCCAAAGGAAGTTCTTAACAGTCTGGCACCTTGAAAACAAGCACTTTTCAGTTCTAATAAAAACCAATATTAGATGTCTCCGATAGAGTTCTGAAAGCAGATACCATATCATTTGCCAGACATCTTTCTGGTTTTATGATGGCTTTCTACAGTGCACACATGAACACTTTAGTAGAGGTCCATTATATAGATGCAAGTTTCCCTACCAGGTACACTTGGATTCCCTTCAGCAAATATTGCTTCTATATGCTCATCTCACTTCAAGAGTATTTTCTGCCACATCTCCCAGAGCTTCTCTCTTTCATTGGCAGAGTAACTCCTGGGCAGGCCTATGACACTCATATGGATTTCCCAGTCTCCCATCAGTGGTGTGCGTGAGCTCGATTTCTCTCCACATAATGGCAGTGCGCACACATTCCCCTCTTCCTCAGTCCACAATGATGGTAACAGATGAGAGTGTATGTGCATGTATGTGTGTCTGTGGGAGTGTGTGGCTGCTTATGACGCATGTCATAGCCTCACGGCTGCCAGTATAGACACGGCTAGCTGTGGGAAAGGGAACGGGTGTGTCCTGGATAGAGGGGTTTGGGTCTGTGGGTCCACAGCCTGACCAGCTGCATCACACACCCTGTGGCTCACCCGGACCCATATACAAACCCATTTGGCTGCAGAGCCTAGACCAGCGAACCTGCTTTAGATTTGGGGTCTCTATAAAGACATACTTCTGTATTTTCAGCTGCACTGTATTAGATAATAATATGATCTGTAGCACATGTGAAATGACCTCAACTAGACCAGACTGCATCAGTTCAGGACATATTCATATGTAGTTATAAACATGTAGTTATATTCTGACTAAATAATACATATGTGCAAAACTTCCTTTTATACATATTTTTAACATCAGATTCTATTCATAAAAACTATATAATTGAATATTGTTCGGAAAACTGCTATCGTTTGCTCTGATGATGACTCTTTTGTGTTTAGTAGTCAGTCGTAGCACACTAAGCTGAGAATCTGCTGCTGTAGCAAAAACAATACATTGGCAGCGGTCGAGCAAGGCCATGGTTCACTCGACTTCACAATGAGTTTGTTCACCCAAATAGCTCTAAGAGAAATACAGTTCAATAACAATGATGTTTTAAAAATGGCCCCAATAAATCAGGTGGTCAACATCTGGAGAGATATTTTGAGTCATCGTGGCACAGATGAATGTGTGCACTGTACCTTATGAATGGTTTATCGTTTAGCTTGATGAAGAAAACAAATCCACATACAAATCCCTCATTTGATCCCCTTCTGATACCCACTGAAAGAGGGATCCAGGGGTAAGGCATGGATTTCAAATCAAATATAAAAGGAAGCAAAAAAAAAAAACATATCCTGCATTTGGACTTGATAAATCAGCTGCCAAACATATGATCTGCTCATTATATTTTACTCACTATCATTTTGCACTTTGTTTCTGAAAGCTTGGCAAGGTATCAATTCTGCATTCAAGATAAAACAGATAACATTTCATAACTCTGTGGGGATTGGTATATTCTTTATGAATTATACTTATGCTGTGGTGGGATGAAAAAGATAACCCTTCTGTTGAGAGCTATGTATTTCCAATGACAATATGTATGTGCCAGACATAGCTGAAAAAAAATCATGGTTATTGTACATTATAATTAATAATTCATCTACAAAAAAAATCATCTCCAGGAGTTGAATCAACACTTGGAGACATTTAGAAAAGCAATAAGACAAAGCATAAATAATTGAGCAAGGAAGACAAGACTAAAGTCAGGAGAAAGAGCTATGTTCTGAGCAGAGGAAATGATAATTTACCACACTTCCTCCTCTTATCTCTGTCAGAGACACATACTGTATATGGGAACGATTGACTTTTGCTTGGCAGTCTGTCTTCCCCCATCCCCCATAATTATTAGAGTTGCACAACACTGACGCAAGAGTTCACGTTTAGAGACATGATAATAAATAGATCAAATTTGAATAGATTGAATGGTGCTTTGAGTTCTAATGATTTAATCTCGCTGAAAATGTGTTTTTATGACTAGGTGAGCTATCCCTGCCTGCTCATTTCAGCCCCAATGCTGAGGGGTCAGACCCAGCGGTGGAGAGCAGAGAGAATGCCTACGCACAGCTGGAGCTCAGGACGCTGGAGCAGGCCCTGCTGGCTACCTGTGTGGGCAGCCTCTCTGAACTCAGTAAGTCACAAGCTTTTCAATTCATATTCATCTCTTTTTGAAGGACTGTGACAATGTTTTGCATATTATAAGTTTAAACAAACAAATAAATGCTTGTTGCCACATGAATGAAAATCATAAGAAATTAGCAATTCTGGTTCCAGTAACCCAAGGGATCCAGTGATGGTTCTTTTAGAACTGTAAAAGACAAATAATTTTGTATTTAGAATAGTGCTGTCAAACAATTAATCGCATCCAAAATAAAGGTTTTTGTTTACATAATATATGTATGTGTATTGTGTATATTTATTTTGTATATATGTATACATGTGTATATTTCAGAATTTTATTTTTATTTTTATATATTAAATATATTTATTTATAATATAAATTATATGAATATAAATATAGACAGTAAATACATGTAAATAATTTCAAAATGTATACTGTATGTGTGTGTATTTATATATACATAATAAATATACACAGAACACACGCATATATTATGCAAACGAAAACTTTTATTTTGGATGCGATTAATCGCGATTAATCGTTTGACAGCACTAATTTAGAATAATAAAAGGGTTTATGATTCACTAAATAGAACCGGTACATAAGATCCATTCATTTCATGTAAACAGCTAAACTGTTTGCCTGTATATTATGTTTTGGATTCATATTTTTGTTGATTCACTAAAAATAACTGGTTCATATGAGTCATTGATTCGTGTATTAACACTGTTTTATCATGATCTAGCCTTTATGATGAAACTATAAGCAATAACTTAAAACCTTCTTGATTTTTTTCTTAATAAATGAATAAAAGGATAACTCATGCCCAAAACATAAAAATTATATCATCATTTATATATATGACTTGTGCTCATCTTTGAAACACAAATAAAAATATTCTTTAATGAAAACAGATTTCTGTCTCTCGACTGAAAGTCTACAGAACCAAAACGTTGATGCTTCAAAAAGTTCATTGTTAATGTAATCCATCTGAATTGAGCAGTTCAAGCCTAAACTTGGATTAAACTTTTTGATTCATATGGATTACTTGTATATCATATGGATTACTTGTATATACTTGTGTACAATATCTTTTTGTACTTTTTAATGCATGATTGCAAGGACTTTCAAAGGATTGGACAGAAATGATGAGAGAATATAAAAAAAAATTCCTCATTTGTGTTCTGAAGATGAACTAAAGTCTTATGGGTTTGGAACGACATGAGTGTGAGTAATTGATGACAGAGTTTTCATCTCTGGGTGAACTAACCAAGGTGAAATAGCTTTTCTCAGTCTAGTAAAAGACCGCAGTTCTCTTTAAGAATTAGGTCACCCGTAAGGCACTTTTTTTCTTCTTGCTAAAATGTTTAATGTTATAAACACCGTTGTTGTCAGTTTTTCATTTCAGTCTATTACTGTCTAGTGAAATGCTATTTTTGCATGAGTGTTTGTACATGGTAAGACAGAGAGAGACATCTGTACATTTTAAGTGCCGTTCTTCTAACAACTCGGCCTAGGGGTGTGTGAGCGCCTGAGCTGTGGGCAGTTTGCTTACGCAGGAGACCACAGTTCAGCATGAGGCAGGGGGGCCGCAGCTCGCATTCACCAGAGAGGGAAACACACTCTCCCTTAGGGGACCAGCAACACTCCTGCAGTTGTTTTGCTGGTACAAGAGCACCTTCTGTTTGGGTCAGAGGAGTAAAAAACACCTTCTTTATACTTTATGATTGCAGACACTCAAGCAATTGTAAAGCAGCCCTTGCTTAACAACTAAGGAGCACAAGTGTTCATTAAGGACCATTTAGACCATATGTGACTGATTGCATAGATTGTTTCCCACACCTTTCTTTCTTTCATTCACATATTATTCATTCACATATTAGCTGTTATTTAAAGATTATCCGACAATAACTAAGTACAAAAGCAGTGAATTTCCATTCAAGGATGAAATTATGTATCTCTGCTGTCGCTGTGTTCTCTCAGTCTCATTTCTTTCCTCTATGATGCTTTTCACATATGGAGGACAGTGTCCACTGTCTTTACTGTAGCCCTCTCTGACTTTAAGGAGTAAGTCTTTGGCCTGTCCTCATCATATCTTCTCTTCCTTTGGGGAACAGCTTGTGTCTGGATTTCTGCATCGAGAGGCAAAAACAGCAGATTTAAAGCCCCTCGGAGTAATTTAGAGTAAAGCTCTTAGACATTTGAGTTTATTTGAACCATCTACCATTTCCACATTTGAACATAAAACAGATGGGTCTGAAGATATATTTTGCTGTGTTGAAATATGCTTTGTGTTGTGTGTTGTCAGCACTTTAAAAGAAAATGACACAATTGTGCTTGGCTGCACAGCTACTGTCTTTAGTTTATGGGGTTGAACTGGAAACACAGATGGCTTTTCTATATCAGCAGCACACTGTGATTTTGGCATTTGTCTGCTTTCAGAACTAAAGGCATTTATTGCAGGTTATTTGAATTCCGTTATTTTTCTGCAGGCTATTTTTGCTTATATGTGTCTCGAAATAAAGTATTTGACAATATGAGATATTTTATATCATTTGTGCTTTAAATGTGTGTGTATGTGTCCTCTAGGTGACTTGGTCTCACGTGCAATGCACCATATGCAGCGTTTAGTTTCAGCAAGTCCCAGTCTTAGTCCTGGACGTCCTTTCTGCCTGCAGCCCATCTCCTGGTCTCCAGATGCTCTTCACACACTCTATTACTACCTACGCAGCCCACAGATGGAGTCTCTGGAGAACCCCAACCTTGAGCCACCCAGGATAGCCCTTAGCAAAGAAAGGTGAGATCAATGGGCCAAAACCTCATAAAGAGCCTTAAACTTTTATTTATTTATTTAATTCCTTTTATTATTTTTTTTAAAGGAAATTAATACTTTAATAGAAATAAATTGATGAAAAGTGACAGTAAAGACATTTACGATATAATGTTACAAAGGCTTTTTGGAAACAAATGCTATTTTAAATGTTTTTTGTTTTTTTTAATAATCCTAAATAATTGTATCATGGTTTCCACAAACATATTAAGCAGCAAAATTGTTTTCAACATTGTTAATAATAAGAAATGTTTCTTGAGCAGCAAATCAGCATATTAAAATTATTTCTGAAGCATCATATGACTGAAGACTAGAGTAATGGCTGTTGAAAATTTTTGCCATCACAGGAGTAAGAAAATGATTAGAAACAGCAATAATATTTTACTGTATTACTGTTTTTACACTATGTTTGATCAAATAAATGCAGACTTGGTGAGCATTTCTTTCAAAAGTAAAAAAAACTTTACCGACTCTAAACATTTGAAAGGTATTATATTAGATTTCTATGCAGTACAGCACTTGTGAAAGCAAAGATATAATGAATGAATGTGTTTTTTGGAGTGCAATTCTTATAGATTAATTTATCCAGTCTTCTTCTTCTAGTGTTCTATCAGTAGTGATATCTTCTTTGAAATGAAGATTATAGACATGTTTTGAATTTTACATTAGGTCTGTTCTAGTAAGATGAGGCGACTTTACTCTGTGTGGAAACCTTGCTCTGCATTCACGTCAGATAATGAATACTAATGTTTTTAGCAGGTGGACAGTTATGGTTGTGAGCAGGCTTCACAATCACTGCGCTCCTGGCACAGATACTTGAGAAGAAGAAAACCGTAGAGGATTCATTCTGAAATATCACACTGATTTGAATTCCAGCGACACGGCATGTCTGTTGAAGATGGCAGATGCTGTTATACAAATTGTGATTAAGAATGAAGTGCCAGGCTTGTTTGTGGTAATGAAAGGCAGGATTGAAAGAGGCTGTGGCGAGCCAAATTCAGCAGCCTTTGTAATTATACTGTCCTCATTTCTCTCTGCTCCAGTTTTATGCCATTTTTGATCTGCCCTGACCTTTTTTGGATTTAAGTGTGTTTGAGTGTTTGCATTTTGGTGAGAAGAAAGTGAGAGATGCTGGTAAATAACTGAGTAATACTATGTCTCTCTCAGGCCTTTTCCTCTTCTTCCTCCTCTGATGGAGTGGATGCGAGTCTCTATGGTGCATGCGGAGCATCGATGGAGCCTGTTAGTGGACAGTGATGATGTCAGACAGGCTGCCCGACAGCTACTTCCTGGACTGGACTGTGAACCTCGACAGCTCAAGTAAGATGTTCCTGGAGCTCAGTACTGACAACTGGTACTTTGAATGTGCTTTGGATAAAAGCATAACTGTAAATGAAGAAAAAGAAAATATACACATACTGCAGCAACATTTTCCTAATTAACTTTTCACTTTGGCTCTCCATCTGTCAGAATATTTTGCCAAGTTATTGCTGTATTTTTTATTCACCATTTTTTTATGTAATCAGCTCTAGATTCACTCTCTCCTTTTCTATTTCTCAGGCCAGAGTGCTGTTTCACCTCCTTTAAACGTCTAGATTCAAAGGCTGCCGCAGACAAGTTTAATCTGGATCTTGGTTTCCGGATGCTCAACTGTGGCCGCACTGATCTGATTGGCCAGGCTATCCAGCTTCTGGGCCGGGATGGGGTAAACACAATGGATGACCAGGTGAACCTATTTAACTTCTGAATTATTATGACACAATAAAAATGGATGACTTAAATGTATAGTCATCCAAAAATAAAAAAATTCTGTCATCATTTATCACTCTCAGGTTGTTCCAAACCTGTATGATTTACACAAAAGAAGATATTTTGAAGAATGTCGGTAACCAGTTGACAATAGCCATTGACTTTTTTTTTTTCATACCGTCAATTGTTTGGTTACCAACATTCTTCAGAATATCTTCTTTTGTGTTCAATGGAAGAAAGAAACTCATACAGGTTTGGAACAAAGTGAGGGGATGTAATGTATGACAGATTTTTCATTTTTGGGTGAACTGTCCCTTTAACAGAGTTATGCAGTAATGTATATTTAACAAAGTGTTTTTGGTGAAGTATGTTTAACCCTCTTTCTCTCTCTCTGTGGGTGTGTAGGGCATGACTCCTCTGATGTACGCCTGCTCAGCAGGCGTACACTAGCCTACTATTCAAAGTTTTGAGATCAGTTAGTGAAATAAATCAGTATTAGGAAATCAATAAGAATCCATTCAGTCGATCAAAAGTGACAGTAAAGAAATTTATAATTTTCTTAGTAATATAATGTTATATTTCCATTTCAAATAAATGCTGTTCCTTTGATCTTTCAGTGCAACAAATATCTTTAAAAAAATTATCATGGTTTCCACAAAAATATTAAGCTGTTTTCACACTGATAATAATAAGAAGTCTTTCTTGATATCACAATATTATGGTTTTTACTGTATAGTGGTCAAGTAAATGCAGCCTATTTTTCAATCAACCCTTGAATCGAAGTGTATACAGTATTAAAATAAGTTAAAATTTTTCACAAAAAAAAAGAAAAAGAATGTCATCATTTACTCACCCTCATGTCATTCGAAACCTGTATAAGTTTCTTTCTTATGTTGAACACAAAAAAAACATGCTTTCTTTTAAAGAGTTATGTTTGAATGTATTCTTAACACATAAAACTATAGCAGAGGCTATTTTCACCCTGGCACAAATAGTGGCAGATACTATTTGCAATGTAAATATAAAATAGTGTACACTAGCCTACTATTCAAAGTTTTGAGATCAGTTAGTGAAATAAATCAGTATTAGGAAATCAATAAGAATCCATTCAGTTGATCAAAAGTGACAGTAAAGAAAAAAAAAATTCTTAGTAATATAATGTTATATTTCCATTTCAAATAAATGCTGTTCCTTTGATCTTTCAGTGCAACAAATATCTTAAAAAAAAATTATCATGGTTTCCACAAAAATATTAAGCTGTTTTCACACTGATAATAAGAAATCTTTCTTGATTTCACAATATTATTGTTTTTACTGTATAGTGGTCAAGTAAATGCAGCCTATTTTTCAATCAACCCTTGAATCGTAGTGTATACAGTATTAAAATAAGTTAAAATTTTTCACAAAAAAAAAGAAAAAGAATGTCATCATTTACTCACCCTCATGTCATTCGAAACCTGTATAAGTTTCTTTCTTATGTTGAACACAAAAAAATATATTTTGAAGAATTTTGAAGAACTAAACAGTTGTTGGTCCCCACTGACATCCATCATATAGTATAGTACGCATATCAGTAGTGTGGTGGTGTTCTGAAATGAGGGGGCAAATCCTCAAAGTTTTTTTCTTTCTTTTATGTAAATTCAAATGTAAATGTAAAAAACAATTCTATTTTATATTTTTACATTGAGTGTAATCAATATTCTATTTAAAGCCAAGTATGGATCATATTAAGTTAGTGTTTATAAGCATTTTACATTTATTCCAAAATAATATATTGTTTAACAATTTAAACAATATATTTCATTTGTGAACTTATGTTTAGCTATTCTTTTTATAGTTAACTATTTTAGAATTTTTCCGATAATCAGCCATCAAAGCTTGGTAAATATTGGTCACAAACACAGAGATTTACTTAAAATTTCACCAAGCTGATTACTCACTAAAAACTCCCACAAATAATGTTTTCATGCGATTTTATGTCTTATTTTGACGTAAACAAAGTGGTTATATTTAAGTGTCAGAGTTGTTTACTTACTTTTTTAAATTCATCTTCCCATTAACGCCATTATATTTTTGTTCAGTCATTATGTTTATTCAGATTGATTTGCGAAAGTGGAACTCGCACAAACACAAGAGGCAGGATTTATTGTATGAACCAATCACAGCCAAACATAACCAGTCATATCTAATCATATCGTGTTGAAGGCATTGCCTCCTCTCAAATTACTTTTCTCCATTCATTCTTAGTTACCCCCACCAAACTCACTGCACACTTAAAGGGGTCATATGATGCTGCTAAAAAGAACATTATTTTGTGTATTTGGTGTAATGAAATGTGTTTATGTGGTTTAAGGTTAAAAAACATTATTTTCCACATACTGTACATTATTGTTTCTCCTCTATGCCCCGCCTTTCTGAAACACAAAGTGAGGAACAGCCGGCAGGCTGAGTGAGCAGAGGCGGCGGATTTGATGAAGGAGGCTTGTGGCAACCACATGTGACGACCCGGGCTGGACTCCGCTTCGTCCACGGTGAAAGCCGATCCGGTGATCGACAGCGCAAAGTTGATGTATTTCCTCAGCAACCAGCATGGATCAGCTCCAGGCATGACGAAGCAGATATCGTCCTCTTTTGGAAGGCCAAAGTAGTTTCGCTTTCACAACGAATCACACAGCGCATTCACAACATGGCGGCAGCAACAATACTACAGCCAGAATAAAAGTTATGCCTTCTTTCTTTGCGTGAACATTTGGACGGCGTTATGCAAATCTTCCCACATAGTGATGTAGATATGTGGGGGCGTGTTAGAACGAGCCATTTTAGGTAGGCGTGACTGACTCTTAAATTTTATAAAGAATATCTCTTTGGATTTGAGACTTTAGTCTTTGCAACTTTACAGATCTTCTTTATGCACCAAGAGCTTGTAACACTCCAAAGAGAAAGGAAAAATTTAAATCGCATCATATGACCCCTTTAAGTGGGTCTGTCTGTGGTTAAAACTCAAGCTCAGGGGAGGCAAGAAAAACACGCTGTAACTTTACCTGCTGGTGTCGCTATTGGACAATGTTTCTTTAGAAAAACGACTGATTTATAATTTTTTTTGTTATATTTTGTAAAATTGACTGTTTTATTTTTGTACTACGACTTTCTTTTTCATTCAATATTTTGAGGAGCACTGCCTCCTCGGAGGAAACGCCCGACACGTATATCATATTTATAGTATAGTACACTTTTAAAAAATTCCATGCTGTCATACAATAAGTACTAGTAACTTCTCACTATATGCAATTCAGCATCAAAAAGACTATGATTGTTAATATGTACCATGTCGCCCTCACAGATGCTCATTTTCTGAATAACACAGAGATGTCTGATGTGATATTTGTGGTGGAGGGAAGGCCGTTTTATGCCCACAGAGTTCTGCTCATGTCTGCTTCACAGAGGTGGGTCTCTTACTCAGACTGATTTGAATGTAATGCCATATAATCAGTTATGTGATTGGTTATGTTTTATATATGCTCCTCATGATTCATATAAGGTTCAGAGACTTGCTGAGTCTCTACAGGAGTAATGGCACATCAGACCACATGGCTATTGAAATCACTGACATAAAATACAGCACGTTCCAGGTAATCAGCAAACCTCAGCCTGAACATACACAAGACAAACATATATGATGTAATGCCATTAAAACAGCTTGTAAATGTTTATTTCAGATGATGATGGCACATCTTTACTGTGGAGGAGCAGAATGTTTAGACGTGTCTGTGTCGGATTTGCTGGAGGTAAGAAAGACATGGATAGGCTATATAGTATAGTACTGTTAAATATATTTCTGTAATCAAAATTTAAGGAGTTGGCATAAAGCAGTCAACTTAAAGGGGTCATATGATGTTGCTAAAAAGAACATTATTTTGTGTATTTGGTGTAATGAAATGTGTTTATGCGGTTTAAAGTAAAAAAAAACCCATTATTTTCCAAATACTGTACATTATTGTTTCTCCTCTATGCCCCGCCTTTCTGAAACACGTTGATTTTTACAAAGCTCATCGGTCTGAAAAGCGAGGTGTGCTGTGATTGGCCGAATACCTCAAGCGTGTGACGGAAATGTTACGCCCCTCACCATACTGTTGATGCCGTGTCCCAGCGGGAGCAACGAGACAAAAACATTAAAACCCATTACAAACGAGGCATTTGTTGCATTCAGTGGGGACATAATTACTGATTATAATGACTTATACTTTCTTTTTACTCGTTGCATCGCGCCGCGTAAACATAAAAATTCAAAAGAGAAATTACAAACAACAAGTGCTACTCTACACTGCTCAAAACTCGCGTTTGAATAATCAGTGGCAAATCATTTAAATGAAAACGTACTTACAGACAGTGAGTCAGAACTGCAAGACCAAACAAAGTAGTTTCGCTTTCACAACGAAAAACACGGCAGCCTAGCATGAGCGGAAGCCGCGGCTTAGAGTGAACTGAGGCCGGGCTAGAGTGAGCAGAGGCGGCTGGGTTGAGAATAGCATGGCTGGTGGATTCGACGACGGAGCAGCAACCACATGTGACGACCCCGGGCTAGACTCCGCTTCGTCCACGGTGAACAACGAAGCACACAGCGCCTTCACCACATCGCAGCAGCGGCAACAATACTACAGCGAGAATAAAAGTTACGCCTTCTTTCTTTGCGTGAACATTTGGGCAGCGTTATGCAAATCTTCCCACATAGTGAGGGAGATATGTAGGGGCGTGTTAGAACGAGCCGTTTTAGGTAGGTGTGGTTAACGCTTACCTTTTATAAAGAATATCTCTTTGGATTTGAGACTTTAGTCTTTGCAACTTTACAGATCTTTTTTTATGCACCAAGAGCTTGTAACATTCCAAAGAGAAAGGAAAAATTGAAGTCGCATCATATGACCCCTTTAAGCTTAGATGCACTGTCATGTCCTGTACAGCTTCTTCCCGTGGCCCACTCATTCCAGCTTCAAGTTTTGAAGAGACACTGTGAAATCCTCTGCTCAGAGAGAATAAACCTCAACAACGCTGTGAGCATCTACCAGACTTCCAAAGTATGTACATACAGCTTACACTAACATATTATTCATCATTCCAGCATCAAGCTTCAGTCCTCTGATCTGTCATCCGTGTGTGTTTGTTGTGCGTTATGGAGCAGGTGTGTGAGGCGGTGGAGCTGGCAGTGTTCTGTGAAGGCTTCTTCCTGCAGAACATAGTTGATATTCTGGACTGTGAGCAGTTTGAGGAGCTGCTGCTGGGTTCTGACTGCAGCACTGCGCTGGATCCAGATGCTCTGGATGGTCTTCTGGCTACACTGACCTCACGGCTGCACTCACTTTGTGGGCCGCGTCGAGCTTGAGCACATGAGGAAAACTATTGTTGGAAAACCAACAAAACTCAGATGTGCAGGCAGGCGTGTGACGTCCCATACAAACACAGTTTATATGTTTGTTAACCTTCGTAATTCCTATTTTGAGTCAGTGACAAAGATTTAATGGGATGTGTGAGCTATTTATTACTTTTCATATCACAATGTAAAAAACAAATGTTTCCTAAATTGTGCTTTGGTCACAAATAATGAACTTATATGTTGATTTATGAGGTGTTTGATTATACCCAGTATAGATATACTTTACAGTGTCTATTTTACAAGCTACTTGGAAGTACCCGTGTGCTTCAGAGAGGAAGCGCTGTAAACTGCAGTGTAGCGCCCTCCAGTGGTCAACAGTTTCCCACGCCTGCATTCAAATACTTCCCAAAAAATCAATAGTAGTATTGTATTGTTTTCTCACCTCACTTGTGTAGTGTAAATTGTAAATATATTTCTAATATGCAGTAAGGCAAAGGTACGCGGATATGTTGGGATCAATAAAAATAAATTATTTGATAAAATTTTGCATGTAATTTTGAAATGACTAATAGTAATAAACGTGAAAAAAATATTTTTTATTATTTTGTGATCCCAGACATTTGTATCAAATGGCATAATCATTTGCATCATACAGTATGTGCATAAATTTGTAAAGATCTAGGATGATGCTTAAATTGTTTACATTTTTTTTTTTTTTTTTACAAACTTTAAATAGAAAATATCTCACATATATATATATATATATATATATATATATATATACACACACACACACACACACACACACACACACACACACACAGTATAGAGCAAATAGCAACACTGTACATTCCAATTGATTGATTTCTCCTAATTAACCTACTTTAGGTTTAAATGAATAGCAAATACGTCCTAATAACCCCCGACCCCAACTTACCCCAAGGGTCTAATTTTATTTTTTAACCAGTTTTTTTTTATCCACAATTCTAAAAACATTAGTGTCAAATGCCTACAGACAAACTTGATATTCAAAATAAATGACAGAGATCACTATTTTCCTAGAAACACAATTAAATCACTTAGCCTCAAAACTGTTCCAACTGTTAATCTTACAAATGTTGATATTCAGAAGAAATGGGGAAAAAAATTAAAAAGAGCCATTCATCAAGTGTTGAGATGTTGTGCTATCTGGTAGGGGGGGTTGGGGGAAGTAAGCTAGGGGGTCACATTTTGCACCGCTCACCCTACGTTTCAGAGAAAACAGCAAATACATACAACATCCCAAAGTCAATGGATTTATTTCCGTTGCACTGAAGTTGTTCACAGTAGTTACAAGGGGATACATTAGCGGCGATTCTATTTTTCCCGCTTGGTATTAATCAAATCCGTGATACATTACAATCCAGCTTTGCTCCTTTTTTTTCTCCCAAAGTACAAAATAGGAAGGACAACAATGTGTATTGCTTAGATTACATCTCCGCTTATTCTCTGTATGTTCCCATAAGTGATCATGTGCTATGACATCCCAGACCCCATCCCGAGAGCATGATGCAGCAGAGCATGTGGCGAGAAAGCGTTCACGATAAGGGAGATGAGAGAAAAACGACCAACTGAAAATGAAGGCGTGATAACGGGGGAAACAAGTCGATGATGAAAAAGGTGAAGGGGAGGAGAAATCTAACATCCACAACATCATGCAAATTAAAGCCGAATGTCGGACATGCAATACAAGAGAGTCAGGAGCAGCAGGATCCCCTTGATGGTTTTAAGAAAGTCGTTTGCCCAAAGTTGTCTATTTACAACATGTGATTTGAGCTCGTCCACCTGTTTTACACGCACAATGAGATGAGTGACAAATATCAATATTTCATTATCTCTCACCCCCCACCCTAAAGAGGCTAGTCTACATTCTTAAATTACAAGTAAATAATTTAACATATACTACAAGCTCTTTAATCTGGCCAAAGCCGGGAAAGAAAGAGTGCTTCATTCACAAAATCGGACAAGTGTTATCGTAGCCTACACAAAACACAAGATCCTTCAAACAATCTGATGAGTCGCCCTGATGCAAACAATAAAATCTCCACCACCCGGTTTTGTATATATAAATATTCCCCAGCTGAATAAATTAAAAAAAGACAAACATATATAAGTTACAAAAAAAGGGTAAAAGGTCTCTGAATCCTGCAGATGTTTCTCAATAAAAATTAAACACGAAATAAATACAAATTGAAAACTGACATCATGAGTAACCCTCGAATACATTAAGCATAATTGTCATTTAAAACTAACATTTCATGAACACTACATGAGAAGAAAAAAAGCAGGATGTGGCAACACAATTCATCTAAGCAATGTCACTGATAGACATTTGTTACATAAGGAATATTTTCAGTCTGTACAACAGAATAGATCATTTATTGTGACGCCCCCCTCCCCCCCCCCCCCCCCGGTCCTCCCACCCCCGTGTCCCAGTCCACGACCCGCCCCAAAAGTTCATCCCCACCATTTTTCAAATAGGATCTCCAAATCTTGTACAGCAATGACACTGAGTCCATAAAATGTTTTAAATTATCCATTTCACAAAGAAAGACTACATTGAAAAGAATACAATCCAACAACGGTCCTCGAGGGCAACTCCTCAAACATGTGCGTTATGAAATCCAGAGTTCCATTCGCCATTTGTCCTTTTGTAACGATGTCCTGTATGTACGTCTGTGTGTTTGTGTGTGCATTAGCAGAGAACGGGGAGGAAAGAAGACCAGCAAGGATAAAAACAAAAAGTATGTTTAAATAAAAAGATGAATTGTGGGTTAGCTTAGTGAGAATTCATAAACATCTTTATTTTAAGGCTTCACTCCAAATCCTTGGACATGTGTGGCTGTATGTACAGTAGCTGCAGGAGGAAGGAGTTGAGGAATCTTGTTGGTGTTTGGGGTGTTTAGATGCATCAGAATGAGGAGTTTCCCTCAGCTGCTTGTACTGAACTTCCTGTGTAATGTGCCCTCCATCAATGTGCCATACATGAATCTTGTGCAAGAGCAGGACTTGGGGCTTTAACACGTTTTCTGGATAATTCCTGGTAGCAGAAATAAATAAAGGCATCATAAAACAACATAACGAGACACTGTGAAGAACAAACAACACTGGAGAGAAAAAATAAATAAGCGTGTCTGTATGCGCCTTTTGTAAAGTGTCGGGTCAGTACATACAGTACTTCAATATTCATTCCTTTATATAAAACTTTGTAGAGGCTTGGTTAAAATCAACTTGAGTCAACAACATCCTTTCACCATGACTGGATTCTTTTCTTTTGTTTCTTTTCTTTTCTTTTATTTTAAAACTAGTATATAGTATTTCTCCTGGTTTTAAGGTTGTTCCTGTGTCCCAACTGATGGTGCCATCTTGGCTTTGTCTTGGCCAGATGGACATTTGGAGTCATTAGGCTCAGGCTCATGTCTCTTGCTGTTGGCATGCTTGGGCGTGCCGGGCGGATGGGACACCTGCCCGTTCTTCTCGTCTGAAAAGAGCTGTTTAATTACGTCAAAGAAGTTACTCAATGGGCTGCCTGGGTGCACAGACGGGAGAAGAGGAGAAGAACAAGAAAACAAGAGAGAGAGAGAGAGACAGAGAACAAATACATGAACAATGAGGATCACAGACGAGGCAAGGTGAGATGATGAGAGGCAGGACGAGACTGCATTAACTGGAGACAATAAGCAGTGTATCAGAACACACTGACATGGATACAGCACACATCTGCAGGCATGTTCAACTGTTTGACAGTACAGCTGAATTACTGGTCAGAGGTCTTATTGTGTAATGAGTATCTGTGGCTGAGCAGTCTCCATCTGATCTGTGATCTTCACAAGATGGAATGGAAAGAGATGTGATAGTGTTGATTTATTGCAAAGAAATTCAAGGTAGATGGCCAATGACTTGTTCTTAATTAGACATCAAACCTCAAATTCAGGATGCATATCCTAAATTGTGTGTATACACATCAGTGAAGAATTTAGCACATACTATAAGCTATATAATATAAATTAAGGGTGTAAAATGCATTGGTACACCTGACAATGAAAATTGTCTGATTGATTCATTTGAAAGAATTTGTTCATGAGAAACAATTATATGCAAATTGGACTACTCGGGTCATGCTGTGTTTATCCAGTTAAAGGAACCATTACATCTCAAGTGTAAACTACTCCTCAGTTGTAAATGTTTTACAAACCTGGTTTTGAAAGGTTTTGAATACTTTGGAGTGTGTACTGCAATGTAAGGGCTGGCTGGTGAGGGTGTAGACCAGGGGTAGGCAAGTTCGGTCCTACAGAGCCGCATTCCTGCAGAGTTCAGATCCAACCCTGAAAAAAAACTCACCTGCCTATAGCCTTAGTAATCCTGAAGACATTGATTAGCTTGTTCAGGTGTGTTTGATTAGGGTTGGAGCTGAACTCTGCAGGACTGTGGCTCTCTAGGACCGAACATGCCTACCCCTGTTGTAGACAGGTGTCTTCTCTGACACACATGGAGTATTTTAAAGCTGTACACTTGAGTGGAGGGTAAAACCAGTTCACATTATCACTAGATCCCACACACTCCACAAAGAACAAAAGTCTGTGCTGATGAGAGAAAGGGTTAACACAACCCACTGGAATCCCCTGACTGTAAGTCATTTACACGTTTATTCACTTGACAGCAAATCATTTATTTTTCTTAAAAAAAAAAATTGTTAGCATAATTCAATTTTTGGGCTTTTTAACAGACCAGCTTACAACTTTAACGAAACATACATAAATTATATACTGATCATTTACTAATGGTTTAAAGGGGTCATATGATGTGATTTCAAGTTTTCCTTTCTCTTTGGAGTGTTACAAGCTGATTGTGCATAGATAAGATCCCTGAACTTGCAAAGACTAAAGCCTCAAAACCAAAGAGATATTCTTTATCAAAGTTAAGACTCTGCCATGCCCCCCTAAAATGGCTCGTTCTAACACGCCCCCACATATCTACCTCACTATGTGGAAATATTAGCATAATGCATCCAAATGTTCACGCAAAGAAAGAAGGCGTGGTTTCAGTAACCGCAGTTAGTGTTGAAGCAGCCATGTCAGGGAGACGCTGTGTGTTTCTAGGCGAAAGCAAAAGCACTTTATTTGTCCTTCCGAAAGTAGATGCATTTAGGAATATTTAAGAT